ATACCGCGGCTCCCAGCAGCCTTTGCATCTTAAAAGAGGACAGAGAAGGGAGAATACTGTGGACAAAGGGATAGGACTGTGTAGTGGTAGCGGAGCAGCCCCTTGGGGAAGGCGCTTCAAGCAATAAGAAGATAAGTGAGACAGAAACAGGAGTATGACCTCACTTTAGTATTCTGCAGATCCTGGGGGTGGGGCCGTGTCCCGGAACCCCGCCCCACCCTGATTTTGTTCTTCATCAGCGATACCGAGTAATTTGTTCGAAAGAACTGGTCCTGTTTCAGGAATGTGTTCTTTCTTCGAAACAAAGAGTACCCGTTTGAAGAAAAGGCCCTCCTTCCTTCTGCTCTCATAAGCGTTTAGCAGGCGCCAAGCAAGGTTTAGGAGGGCACCCACAGACGTTCTCGCCAGGACCCCTCCGCAGCCGCTGGGGACTCTCACACACAGTGCGATTTTATTTTACATTTCAAAGAGGTAAGTAAATAGACAAATCAATTTGAGCTGTTCTGAAATTTCGTGCTGGGTCATTAATTTTAAAAGAAGGGACTTCAATAATAGTGAAAGAACAGAGCCCAAGGGTAAAGACAGAATGGTCACCTTCACAGTGCTGACAGAGCCGCAGGCCAGAACGACCGGGCATCCACCCCGGTCCCTGGGGGTCTCCCCGCGTGTCTCCCCTGCACGCACAGGTGTGCATGGAATTCCGCACCGGAACAACGCGAGCCCTCTTCCGTCCTAAAACTGCACCGTCTGGTGGGTTCTGACAAAACCGGGCCACGGGAAATGAACACCCGCCCTCGCGTGGAGGGGCGGACAGAGGTGACCCTAAAGTTCGGTATGGCGTAGAAATACAGTAAAGACAAGTACACGCTGCAGCCGTACGACAGAGAGAGAGAGAGAGATCTTTCCACACGAGATGATGTTCAGCCTTCATCCGAAATAATTTTAAGTTTCTTAAGAGGAACCTCCACCCCAGCAACCAAATAATATATTTAATCCCAGTTAAGCACTTGCTAGATCGTTTATTTTCAAATAAGTGTGACAATTATGGAATTAACGCTCGGCACGTTAATGCTTTGGGGAGCATCACGAAGAAGCTGTGCTGAGCTCTGTGTACTGATCTGTAAAATGGGTTTACAGGGCGACGCTAGGCTCTGTGTGTACGACCCCTGACAGTGCCAGGCACGCAGTAGGTCTGTCTGGACCGACACGGAACCCTCACATTCATAACACACGTTGAACGGTACAGCTGGTTTACTTTCTCCTGCATTTTGGTTGATTCTCTGTCTCCGGCTTTGAAAACAAAGAACTGGTCATGGTGGAATCATTTCACAATGTGCACCGACACCCAGTCCTTATGTGTACGCCCTAAATGACCATTCTATCTCAACCAAACTGGAAACACTAAAATAAAAGCTGTAGTTTAAAAAATAATTGGTCACTGACAAATGAGCTGCAAAAGCGTAATTAAGCCACTGAGATTTGTTACTGAATAAAGACGAGCATTGAATGTTAGCTCTACAGGGTAAAGCCAGGGAGGATTTCACCGGGACTGTTCTAATACCTACCCCCAAGATTCTAGTTCAATCCCGATCAGGCATCTGGCTATTTTTTTTTTTTTTTTACAACAGTATTATTGAGATATAATTCACGTCATAAAATTCACCTCCTGAGATCATCACCACAATCAACTAGAGAACGTTGCCTCCATTAGCAGTCACTTACGGTTTTGCCCAGATCCCCCCCATCCAGCCTGAGGCCCCCACTAGGGTCATACAGCCTGTGGCCTTCCACGAACTGGCTTCCTTCCCTTAGCATGACGTTTTCGAGGTTCATCCACGTCCTAGCGTGCAAGGTGCGTCCTTCTGCTCATTGCTGGCTGCTGGCTCCCGGGGTAGACCGCACATGCTTTCCATTCCGGGGAAGAACATTCCGGTTGGATTGCAGACAAACAACACTTAACAAACATTCACATGCAGATTTTCTTGGGGACGTGTGCTGTCAAGCATTCTCGGGCATTTGCCTAGGGATGGGCTTGCTGGGTCCTGGAGGAACGCTTATGTTTAACTCTCTGAGAAGCTAGTAGAATGTTCTCCAGAGTGGCCGCACACCGTGCTTCCTTCCCAACAGCCTCTGCGTCCTCAGAGCACTATGACTGCCTGTCTTTCTGGTGCAGCCCTGCTGGTGGGTGTGAACAGGTAGCTCGTGGCTTGGGTTTGCGTTTTTCTGACGGATCGGGGTGCTGACCGGCTGTCACGGGCATCGCGGCTATTTGTAATCTACTTTGGAGATGTGTTTGTTCAAATTCCTCACCTGTGTTGTTGTTGGTGTTAATCCTCACCCCAGGATACTTTCCCATTGATTTTTAGATAGAGTGGAAGGGAGGGTGGGAGAGAGAGAGAAACTTCAACATCAGAAAGACACATTGATTGGTTGCCTCCTGCACAACCCCGACCAGGACCAGGGATTGAACCCGAAACTCTTTGGTCCCCGGCTGACGCTGAAACCGCCGAGCCAAACCGGCCAGAGCTCTGACATTTTTAAAATGATTTTTATCCCTGCATTTGTAGAAGAAAACATTTGTACTTATAGAGCCATACGAAGAAAGCTGAAGAGGCCCTGGCCGGTTTGGCTCAGCGGTTAGAGCGTTGGCCTGCGGTCCAGAGAGACCCGGGTTTGGTTCCCGCTACGGACACGTACCTTGGTTGCAGTTTGTCCCCGGCCCTGGTTGGTCGTGCAGGTGGCAGCCACTCGATGTGTCCCTTTCACATCGATGTTTCTCTCTCTCTCTCTCTTCCTCTCTCTCCCACTCATTCTGAACAAAAAAAGAAAAAAAAAAAGAAAAATGTCCTCGGGTGAGGATAAAAAAAAAAAGAAAGCTGAAGAGGAGGTTACCCTGCTATGGTGCACCGCAAGTCCCACCTCCCTGCTCCTCTCTAGGGGTGATTCGGGCCCACACCTTGCCGGGCCTAGTCGCGGGGGCTTGGTCCCTGGACTGGCCTGTGCCACTGGCTCTGGCTCCTGGGATGGCAGAATGTGTCACGAGCAGATGAGACGCACCTGTGCACTGGGTCTTGTTTCCGTGCCCTTTTGCAATCCCACGAGATAAGTGCTGCCCTGGTTCCAAACGAACGACACTCTGCTAACGAGCCTGAACCCAGGCTGAGGTCTGGAGCCCGGGCACGTTCAGCAGTGCCTCCCTCAAGACTCAGATGCTTGAGCGAGAAATGGACGCTATCGCCAGGCCCCCGATGCTGCCCGCGGCCGGTTGCTCTGCAGCGCAGCCAGCTGATCCTCCCGCCGCGGAGACACCACCCCTGCATCTGCTTGGTCTTCGGTAACAAACGAGATTACGAGAGAAGAACGCATACGTGTCTTGGACTCCTGCTTTTACTTAACTTTCCCCCGTAACACCTGGTGTTTTCAAGTTATGGATAAACACTCTGTTCGTTATCCTTATATGTAAACCTTGAAATCCTACATTTCTCTTAACCATTTTCGTATTACTTTTGCTAATACAAGTGAACACAATGATTCTCCCTGACTCCCTCTCACGGGAACTCCCTCACCTCATCTCTGCAGAGTGCATTTCTGGAAGCAAGCACCCTTACTAAGCTCCCGTACCCCGGGTCCCAGGCGGACCCCCCGAGTCTTCATTTGTGTCTTATTCCTCCTCAGCGAAACCCAGATGGCTTTGCGTCCTCAGAGCTGCAGGTCAAGTTTGGTGTCACTGGGTAGAAAGCCATTTTTGTGAATTCTTCCAGCGTGTTCCCAAACGGACTTTGGACACTTACAGTGTATCCTCAAGAAGAAAGTTGTTGCCGTAATGAACGTACCGTCCGAGGCCCAGCCCGTTTCCCGGCGAGTGACCTGGACATTTCGCATGGAGACACGACGCGAGCGCCTTCCGTAGCCGGGAAGGTGGAAGCCGGGTCCCACGTTCTCTCTGTCCGCAGAGGCCCTGGCACCCACCGCGAGGTGCGGGCGCAGACACGGCGAGGAAATGAATGTAGGAGACCGGGAGGTGGCTCAGCCGTTGCCCCGCAGTGCTGAATAAGGCTGCGTCCACAGCTGGACGTACAGGACCTGAAAGAGGAGGCCACGTGGCTGCCTCTGTACCTCAGCTTTTCTGGGCGCTTCTTAGCAAATGCAAAGGTCTCCCTCTGTCCCTTCTTTCCGGTTCCCTTTCCCTAAGGAAGGTCACGAATTATGATGGTCAGTTTCATTTTGGCAACTGCTGACACGGTTACCTTGGGACCCCAGTGCTGGCTGTCCTTGTATGGGCCACACACTGAGCTCTCCGGGAAGTCCCACCCAGGGTGCCCGTGACTCGTCCTCGTGCCCGTGAACCCCTGGTCTCAGCTGGCAACCGGCTCTCTGTGCTCTCAGGGGACCTGGGCCCCTCAGCTCCCAGGTCTCTGCCCTGGCCGCTCGGGCGTCCTCTCTCAGGCCCGGGCCGGGCTGGCCGCAGGGCCCTCGCCCACAGCACCGCTGCGACCTGCCTCAGGCTAGACCGTTCACCCATCCCTAGCTCTTCGCACCCGGGCCCTGCTTTTTCACAAGTGACCTTTGCTAGCTAGTCCTTGAAATTCCCCAGACAGAAGTGAACCAAGACAGCAAAACCCAAGGAGGGTCACTGAAATGAAACATACCAGGGCAGCCAGGTGTTCCGGGGACACAGGAGGGAAGGTCCCGGGGCGGGCGCTGCCAACCCAGCCGCCGTCACCGAGTGCGTAGGACGAGGGCAGACTGCAGACGCCACCGTGCAGCCCACCTGGACAAGGAATCGGGCAGGGGAGGCTGGCCGGGGACAGCGTGCGGCCCAGCCACCCCATCTCCCCTGAGCTCCCCGCTCCTCGTGTTGCAGCAGGGGCCGGGTGCCAGCCCGCGGGAGCTGCTGGCCGGTTCCCCATTGCAGCTGCGATGATGAAACAGCGAAGAACCGCCGCTAAGTCAGAACGTGTCCCCGAGATGAGATAAGGTCCCTGCCAGTGCCCCGCGGCACCTGCTCGTGCTGGGCCACCTCCCTGCTCAGTAAGTGGGTCCCAGCGGACTCAGGGCACCCCGAGCCCTGCCTGGCTTCTGTAAACAGACCCCAGGCTCCCTCTGAATAATTTCATGACGTGGGGGAGGGGGAGGAAAAGTGAGAAGTCACGATTTATGAATATAGGGTGAGCTTTTAGAGAAAAAGGGGAAATAAAACCTCTTATTATTAGCCGGGATGGAGCTGATAATAACGGGGCTGCGAAAGGGGTGCCGTGGCGTGCGTTCTGGGTGGAGCGTGGTGTTCTGTGGATGGCGGAGTGGCTGAGCGCGTACGTCCATGGAAGGTGAGTCCGTGAAAATAACCTCGAGCTTGGTGGAGGCCCGGGGGGAGGGGAGCCTGGCCCAGACACCGCGGGACTAGAACGGGAATAGAGCATCTGCCAAGATTTCTTAGAAAACCCACGAGTTTGGGAGTCAGAGGAGAGGATTCAGTAAGGAAGTCTCAGAGTTCATTAAGAAAACTACAGATTACGAAATAACAGGGAAGAAGGCATTGCCTCACCGAAGTCACACTGCTTTTGTTTCTCTTGGCGGCTGGGGTTGGGGTCTTGGAATTGTTTGGTTTTTATGTAAAATGTACAAAAATTTGCTGCAAGATCACTTGGCTTTTAAGTCCACTAATTTAATTATTTACCCAAAGCAACGTAAACATATTTCCATGTACACAGAGGAAATGGATGAAATGAGCAAGAAAAACAGACAGAGACAGAAGGAGAGAGAGCTCAAGGTCTCTTAATACCCCATGAGCCTACAATTCATAAACACCTGGGAAGTGACTGTGCTGAGAGGCTTATTGACCCATGTCTTTGACATTCAGTTCAATCGGTGGTCATGTTGACAACTTCACTGACCGGTAGAGTTCCTACTTCGTGTGACAGGTTTTGCCCTGTTTCGGAGTTATTGAAACATCTTTTCACGTATGCAGCTGTGTGTTAAGAGTTTGCCTTTTAAAACATGATATGGTTTTGAAAAATCAAACCAACTCATTTGTTTTCATTACTTGAAAGAATGCCTGGGGGACTTTTTAGGTGAGGGCCAAATGTATAGTACACCCCCAAACCCCTCCCCTCCCCACACCCCCTCACGTCCCCCACCGCCACCCCCCTGAAAGACCTGGCTTATTGCTGCTCCCAACCCGCCCGCTCTGGCCTTGGTGAGGGGTGTGCATTCACCAGCGCTACTCTGGACAGGGTCTGCCCCGTGCCTCTCACTCTGCTGGGTGCTGGGCTGCAGCCACGGCTTGGAGCTGGACGAGGACACGCGGGATGCTGTGCTGAGCTCCACTGCTGAGCTCCGTCTGCGGATTCCCAGAGACAGGTACGTCCAGGAATGAGGAGTGTGCATTCGGGCTGATGATGAGCCCGAAGACATTGTACCCCTGGGAGGTTGCGGTAACCCCCTCTCTCCCCTTTCCAAATAACGTGGGATGGAGACACCCTTTCTGCCTGGGCCAAAGAGGTTTATGCTGCGGCAACAGTCTGAATCCAGGAGTTATATTTCAGGACTATTGCAGAAAATTAAACAGAAGTCTAGTAGCGGTAAAAAAAAAAAAAAAAAAAAAAAATGCATGCATTATACATGGCCCTTGTTACTCACTGATAGTTTTTGGAGTGTGCGGTTTTTCATCCGGGGGTGAGGCAATATACCTAGCTAAACATGTCGCGGACATTTATTTATTCGTCGCCTGCCCCCCCTCCCCTCCAGGAGATAGACTTTATTGCTGATTCCACTGTGCGGGGAAAAATGAGGAAGTTAAGCAAATGCTTCACTGTTAAGGGCCTAACGAAGCGTGAATCCTCTTCGTTGCCCTTCAACTTCTGTACCCTAGGTCGCGTCTGGGTTGTGGGGTCACCCTGCTGACTCAAAAAGAGTCTGCAAACCGTGCTGCAGACCCACTGTGGTTATGAAACAAATGCCCCGGGCAGAAAAATAAGGTGAAAAGATGAAAAAGACGGGCAGTCTTTCTAAGTCTGAACTTCAGCAGAATTTGACCAATTCTCAGGAACACTGGGGAATTCCAGCGCCAATTGTCAGAACGTCACCAACTTTCTAGAAACCTTTGCAGGGCAAGAGAGCTGCTCCTATTTTCTCCCAAATTAAAAAAACAAAAAAAACAAACAAAAAAAATAACCCATAGAACACCTGCCCGAGCCAGATGCTCAGACGGTACTCGAGGAATGTTTTTGACTCATTCAGCGAGATGTCACTTGGACGCGTCGCTCCCAGTCTAAGGAACGGAGCATGTACGTCTGCCCGTCGTCGGGAGGCGACCCGAGTTTGCTTCCTTCTGCTCAATTTGAGTCCTGTTTCGGCGACGTAGTGGTCTTCTGCTGGCTTTCAGGGCGGCCGTGGGAGGAAGGAGAGCTGAACAAACCGTCGTCTTCCCTGTAACTGTCGAGTTGGTAAAGTAGCGCTGTTCGTGCACAGTCAAGGATCGCCGGCCAACAGCTCTTCCACAGTGCGTGTCTGGATGGGAGACATGGCCCAAAGCACAAAGAGAGTTGGGTTGTGCTTCCAGCAGGGGTGATTGCTATGTCTGGGACCAAAGCTGCTAAGGGGCCAGGGGCAAATGCTTTCCGGGAACAGAGCAGAGAGGGGTCAGGATTACAGACGACCTGTGCCCGCTGCTGCAGCTCCAGTGATAGCAGCCGCGTGTGGAGTGCATCCCTCTTACAGAGAGGCGTCCTTCTTGGTAATGGTCACGCTCCTCTTCAGGTGTTTTGTGTTGTCTACAGGACAACCAATTTTCTTTCAAAGGTGTCATCTTTTCCAATACAAAATGTCACAATGACACGTGAAAAAAAAAAAAGTGTGTGACTGTTCTATGGCAAAAGAGATTAATCATCAAAAACTGTTCAAAAGTTGGTGGTCTGGTTTCATTTTTTTGCATGGAGCTGTCCAATTTTCCCAACACCATTTATTGAAGAGGCTGTCTTCACGCCACTGTATGCTCTTGCCGCCTTTGTCAAGTATTAATTAAGCATATTGTCTTGGGTCCATTTCCGGGTTCTCTCCTTTGTTCCATTAATCTATCTGCCTGTTCTTGTGCCAGTACAGGGCTGTTTTGATTACAATGGCTTTGAGGTATTACCTGATATCTGGTATTGTGATCTCTCCTACTTCATCCTTCTTTTTCAAGATTGCTGTGGCTATTCGGGGTCTTTTTGGGTTCCATATGAACTTTCGAAGTATAAGATGACATTTGGAAACTAATTATATTTTCAGCAGCTGTAAAGCCAGAATACACAACACATTCTAGGGGAGAGTGTCTCCCCTAGAATATTCAATGTCTCCCTCCTGAGCTATCCCATGGGCTCTACTTACTTCAACAATGTAATTGCAAAAAACAAACAGATATTTGTTATTTTTACACCTCTAATTGTAACAGACGACTTACAGTCAATCCAAGCCACTAGGGACCAATCTCGCATTTATTCTTCTGACCTGGAATGCCGCCTGTTAATGGGAATTGGTACAAAGTTGCCGCACGTGAGGCCACGGCAGGGAAGGCTGACATTCCAGAGACGTCAGCTTCTTCACTGGAAGAGGACGCGGTCTTGGTGATGGTTACGGGATTTTTGTCTTTGCTTCTCAGGCTGAGTAAACAATGCTTCCCTTTACTTGATTAAAAAATCTCACTTGTTGAAAAATTTAAGAATATTAAAATATCTGCTTTCAGCCCAGCTGATGGTTCAGTGGACTGAGCATCAGCCCAGCCCATGGGCTGGGAGGTCCCAGTTCTAGCCCCAGTCAGGGCACGTGCCCAGGTTGCGGGCTTGATCCCCAGTGGGGTCGTGCAGGAGGTGGCTGAGCCATGTTTCTCTCTCGTTGATGTTTCTGTCTCTCTCCCTTCCCCTCTAAAGAATCAATGAAAACATATTAGAAAAATGCCTATCTGTTTTCATTACTGCTGTCACTGTTGATTTAAAAATTCTTGTTCTATGTGGTATGGAGTTATTCAAGGGAAAGAAATGTGATTTTTTTTTTTTTAATCAAAAGTGGCATAATTCTGATTAGCAATACTTAAGTTCATTTCAAGAAGAAATTGAGTAATTTATATGCTGTTTCTGTCTTCTGTGTTGTGACATTTCACTGTTTCATTAGGAGGTTCAATAGTGATGGTGGTAAATTAAGTTAGTTAAGTAGTAAGTTAAGATGTAATAATGAGCAAAGAGTTTTTTGTGATATTTTCTGAATGTATCTATTTAGCCAACACCTAGCTTTTGTGGTTCTACCAGAATTATATTTGGGAAACACCAAACCGCCTGAACACACTTTTAAACTGAAGACGGTCAGTTGTTAAATTAGGACAGAATGTAGGTTTTGCTGTTGGAAGATCCGAGATGAGGTCTGAGTCCCATCATGAGCCTGCTGTTTGGCCTCTGATGAATGACTGTTGTCAGTTGGGTAGTACTCACACCCCACACCCGGTCAGGGGGAGCGGCAGGGATGCAGGGAAGGGCTGATTCTGAAAACCCGGGGTGGCACACACCAGGTGGGAGCCAAGTGTGCGATTTGTTCTTTGAAATTAAGTTCATAAGAAGAATTCCTTTCAAAATGTGCAGAGGGCCCTGGTCGGTTTGGCTCAGCGGTTAGAGTATCAGCCCGCGGACCAGAGAAATCTGGGTTCGGTTCCCGCTAAGGGCGTGTACCTCGGTTGCAGTTTGTCCCCGGCCCCTGTTGGGATCATGTGGGTGGCAACCAGTCGATGTGTCTCTCTCACATCGATGTTTCTCTCCCTCTCTTCCTCCCTCTCCCCCTCCCGCTCTATCTGAAGATAAATGCGAAAATGTCCTTAGGTGAGGATAAAAAAAATGTGCAGAGGAAGCACTTGGACTATCTAGACTACGATTCCCACACAGAGGCCCTCAGTTCTCCCCCTGGACGTGTAAAAGCAGGTGCAGAAGTGGCTTGGCCACGTTTTCCACACGGCCACGCCAAGTTGTTTCAACGTTTCTACGCTAAACTCCTCTTCACTGTCCAGTTGTTGCAGGTAGAAATAGGTTTGTGCTTCCTCCAGGCCGATCATACGTTTTCAATTCCTCTTCCCGTCTACTCCCATGTGGGTTCACTCGGCCTCCCCAAAGCTCGAAGCATCACACGTTCCTCGGGCTGGTGATATGAATTGCTCTTTCCCACTTTGAGCTGCTGTAGATTTGAGCTTCTTGTCAGGTTGGCTTTCAATTCACAGTCATGAACATAACAATGGTGTTTATTTTCCACCGGATTCGCTGTGCCTGGAATGCGTGCTGCTCAGGTCTGCCATGCCTCCCTCCGGCTATCCTCGCTGTTCCCTGTGCTCTCTCGGCTTGGCCTCACGGAGCCTGTCCCCGACCTCTCCCGCTCTGTGTGCCTCAAGCCCTCGGGAGTCAACGCTGAGCTCTGCGGGGTCCCACTGAGCCCCAAACACACCTTTACTAGTGCCGTTGCTAGAGCGACCGCCAATGATCACTCACATTTCATTCTGCCCCTTTGACAAGATTTGTTCATACTTGTATTTCTAGCACATGACAGATTGTTCCTAAACGTTGGTTCAATGGCCAGATGTCCGCGTTCCACTTCAGAAAGTAGCTGTCGGTTTTTCTTACACGTGACCACGCGGGTCTTCTCTGTTTTCTGTAGAATCGGATCATCATGGCTCCCACACCATTACTGATTCTTTTGGGGACCACTGTGATTCTGCAGGCAGACTCACTTCCTGAGAAACGTAAGTGTCATCTGTTAAGTTCAGCGGCGTCTCTTTAAAAACGAAGCACATTACAACAGTGCTAGCGTATTTTCTGCTAAATGATCACTCCGTTAGGAAATGAGATGTGGATTTTTATTTAAGGGGGTGGAATTTTTTCGGTTCTCCTTAGACTACAAACTCTTTAAACATGCTGCATTTTGAGAAAGCGAAGTTGGCAGAAATGCAAATCTGACGCTACCGTGTGCGTGTGCGTGACCAGCTTCCACGAGGAAAGCCCACGGGACACAGCTGGAGCTGGTGGCCCCTCAGAACGTGGCTCCCTGCACGGGACGGTGAGGAGTCCTCACGACCGGAGAGTAACTGTCTCCCACTGTGCTTGGCTCGGAGCTTGACGATCGATGGATTTGGTGTGGAGAGAGTGTAAGAAGAGAAATCTGCCACACAGCTGCTGCCGAGTGTTGTGTGGGAGGACTTCCTGTAATAACGACAGTGCCTATATCTACACTGTCCAGTGCAGCAGCCCCTGGCTACTGGGGACTCCTGGGCACTTGAAGTATGGGCTCCTGCAAGTGAGGCAACGAAGACTTTATTTTTTAACCTCATTTAAATAGAAATAGCCACATGTGGCCGCTGGTGACACGATGCCCAGTGCAGTCTGGACGGACCCTTGGCGTCTGCAGGTGTGGAAGGGGAGGTCACAGAAGGCTGTTCGAGGTCAATGGAAACACCCTGGCCACACAGTAAATGAATCAAAGGAGGTTTCATGATTGTGGCATAATATTATCTTAATTTTGGAAAAAAAAAATATCTGAAAGGTTTAAGATACGTCCAGGGATCAAGGAACAGATCACATGTAAGATACGTCCAGGGATCAAGGAATAGATCACATGTAAGATTGGTAAGATTGGTGCTCACTGCTAAGATTGTACATAATTTTTCTTTTCTTTTTTTTTTTTCCTCATCTGAGCTCCCCAAAATTTCTAAAATGAACAGACATTGATTCAGTAATGGAAATAAAAGCTTTTATTTTGAAAGCAACGTTAGAGTGGTTTACCAAGGGGAAAAAAACACACACATTTTCTTCCAGAAATGCCTAATTAAGTAGTTTTGCTTCCAAATTTGTTTTGACTTCATTTATTCATTTATTTATTTATTTTATTTTATTTATTTATTTTTTATCTATAAGAGAGCGAGGGGTGTTTTGACTTTAGATCATAGTAAGAAATCTATTTCCCATCACAGACCAGCACCGTGCAAACACAGAAGTGCATTTATATGGCGGGAAGAAGCAGCTCATGACACAGGGTGTCTACTTATTCCGTCTGATGCACGAAGCAGCATGTGGTGTCTCTTCTGTTCTATTTTCTTCCGTGTCACTAAAAAAAAAAAAACTAGTCACAGACTGATATGTTATCCTAGCCCATGAGTGGATAATGACCTCAGCTTGAAAACTATGGTTTTAATAAATAATGATATAGTAAAATACTCATATTTCAATGAAAGATCTGAGATGTTATAGGTAAACACCCGGGCAAAGAAAAGAAAATGATGATGAGTTAAAAGCAGCTTCTTTCAGAATTGTTTTAGTTTTATACATTCTAATAGCCGTAATAAAATGCTGTAGTATGGCCCTGGCTGGTTTGGCTCAGCCGTGGGAGGTCAGCCCACCAACCAAAGGCTTACGGGTTCGATTTCTGGTTCCTGTCGGGGGCGTGCGGGAGGCAACCAGTGGATCTCTCTGTCTCTCCCTCCCTCCCTCCCTTTTACTCTATCTAAAAATCAATGGGAAAATATCTTTGGGTGAGGATTAACACCAACCCCAAAATACTTAGCGCACAATAAAACATTCCGAAGCTTTACAGATGCTGCCTCTGCACAGCTGACAGGTGTACCCTCCTTTTTCTTTTGATCAGTTTTACTTCTCCCACCTGTCAATTTCACCATGAAAGTGGCCGGTTTGGCTCAAGTTCTGTTGCGCTGGGAACCGAACCCTGATCAGCAGCAGGAGAGGAACATCAAGCTAGGATACCACGTGAAGATCCGCGCCCTCGAGGACGATGACGTGAGTGTCCGTTCTGATGGCTGAGAGCCGATGCCCGTGGGTCATGGGGGCAGCCCCAAACTTTTGAACTTTGGGACAATTCTTTCTCTTAAAAGGGAAATGTTAGTAATTTCTCAAGTACAGCAGATTAGATGTTGGTTTTATGTTTTTGTTTTTGTTTTCTGAAATAGACAAAAAATAGAAGAGGGTGGCTGAGCAAAATGGGAGGAAGGCAGGTTATGGCTTCAGAGGCCAAGTTCGAATCCCAGGTCCTGCGTTGGCAGCCTTGGACTGGACACTTCACATCCCAGGGCCCTGGGCTCACTGCAGGGTCATGTTCAAGCTCCTGGTACCCAGTGGGTGCCCAGTGAGATCAAACAAAGGGTGAAGACAGCGCAGGGCATCAGCTGTTTCCGGTCAGCCTGGGAGCTAGAGCGTGTCTGTGGAACGTGAGCCTGGGGAGGAGGCTGCTGGCGCAGACGGCCGTCGGAGCCGGTGGGGACTGACTTGTGCTTGTTTGTATAAGAAAAATGTGTGTGTGCATCACTGAAGAACTAATCATAGTGTTTTCATTATATCGTTTTCTTTTAAGAGAGAAAGGAAGGGAGAGAGAGAGAGAAACATCGATGTGAGAGAGAAACACCAATCGGTTGGCTCCTGCATGTCCTCCACAGGGCATGGAGCCCGCAACCTGGGCATGTGCCCTGACCGGGAATCGACCCAGGACCTCTCAGTCTATGGGACGATGCTCAATAGCCATACCAGCCTGTTTGATAGGTAGATAGATAGATAGATATAGGTATAGGTATAGGTATAAATATAGATATAGATATCATGTATAAGTTCTAGTATTGGGTAATTTATTCATTTTTAAAAACCACTTTATGGAGGGATAATGGACATGTTAAAAAGCTGTACATAGCCCTGGCCGGTTTGGCTCAGCGGTTAGAGCGTCGGCCTGCAGTCCTGAGAGACCCGGGTTCGGTTCCCGCTAAGGGCACGTACCTCGGTTATAGTTTGTCCCCGGCCCTGGTCGGTCGTGCAGGTGGCAGCCACTCGATGTGTCCCTTCACGTCGATGTTTCTCTCTCTCTCTGTTCCTCTCTCTCCCTCCCACTCTACCTGAACAAAAAAATGGGAAAATGTCCTCGGGTGAGGATAAAAAAAAAAAAAAAAGCTGTACATATTTACCCAGCCAGTGTGGCTCAGTGCTTGAGCATCGACCCTGCATCAAGAAGTCTCCGGTTCGATTCCTGGTCAGGACACATGCCCAGGTTGCGGGGCCGATCCCCAGTGGGGGGCATGCAGGAGGCGGCCAATCGATGTTCTCTCTCATCGATGTTTCTCTCTCTCCCTCTCCTTTCTCTTTCTCTAAAAATCAATACAGAAAAATATTTTCAAGAACATTTTTAAAAAGCTATACACATGTAATGTCTAGAAGTGATGAGTTTGAGGTTAGGTCTGTACTCAGAGAACTGTTTGGTAGCACAGCTATTTTGTAGCATGTTATGTGCCTTTAAGAAATGGAGGAAAATGCATATTTCCTCTTCTGTATCATGACTCGTGGGTTTTGTTTTCAGTACGAAACCAAGAACACCCACAGCAAACGCATGATCGCGCTCCACAGAGGCGTTTCGGCAAGTGTGCGGACCATCCCGTGGGAAGACGGCTCCCTCCCGGCGAGCAGCTGGGTTTCTGCGGAGCTCAGACCCCCAGCAGGTGAGGCGCCCCCAGAAGCCCAGGTTTACATTTCAGACGTTGTGACGTGGGTATGTCGGAACCGCCAGGCCCTGCCCAGCGCTCTTCGGCGTCAGTCAGCCCTTGCCAAGGCTGCTGTCCCTTCTTGTTGCCATAGCCCATCCCGTGCCACCTGGCACGGCCCTGCAGACAGAGCTCGAAGGCTCGGCCCTGTCCCTGTTAGCTGGGTCTAAGGTTCCTTGCGACTCCCCCTGCACGGCTCCCCTGCTCTGCTCAGACGGACGTGGAACCGTGACCCACACAGCCTGCCCCAGAGACTCCTCCCAGGCTCTGCCTCAACGTGCCGGCTCCATGCAGCCCCCTTTCGCCCTTGACCCCGAGGGGCGCGCCTCCTCCCACAGCTCATCCGTGGGCTGAGCCCCTCGTCGGCACACATTACACTGTCTGTCTCTCAAAGATAGGCCACACCCTGCCACCCCAACTAGGAGCCCCCTGGGGGCAGGGACAGCGTCTGTGCGTCACTGTGCCCACACCCTAACCAGAACACGTTGTAGACACAGTGTTCGTTTTCAGTTCTGTAACTTCTCACACCTGACGGAACGAAGCTTCTGCTGACAGTTCATAGAAGGCCTGAGACGGAACCCTAATTCCCGAGGGGAAAGAGGGTGAGACACACCGTCTCCACACTGTGCTCCATGGGAAACGGGATCCCTGGCCCTTAAACCAGTGATACTTCTGATCAGACACTTGGACACACGCACACTAAGGCCACCACGTCCTGGCAGGTACAAGTACACACAGCACCAGCTGCCTCGGCCAGTCTGGCCTGCGGGTAATAGTCCCACCATTCCCTGGACGCAAGGCCCCGCCTCCTGAGAGAGAACAGCATTGTGGGAATCGTCCCGTGTACCCACATGCTGTCTAGACCACATGGCAGCCCAATCACAATGGGCATGAACCCAAGTCCAGACCGAGTCCGAGGCAGACGAGGTCACCGGTGCAGGTCAGCCAGCGCTCTCCCTGAATCCCCCTCCCGCCCCTTGGAATGAGCACCTGCCGCACGCCTGTGACGCACCTCTCAGAAGGACATTCCCGCGAGCCTGACTCCCCTCGGAACACCCCGATCCAGGTTGACATGAATGAAAAATGAATCACTTCTGCCTCGAATCCAGCTGCACCCATGCCGAATAATTCATTCTTTAGAAGGGCCTTGGGGGACGGGCAGACTCGGGAACTCAAGAGTGCACCTGGGCATGGACCCTCGGGCGTTTAGGACATGGACAGGTGTTCATGTCTGTGTGTGTAGATACAACGTCCCAGCTACACAGAGCAGTGCGCGGGGAGGATACGGAGCGACTGAGCCAGCCCGGCTTCCTCTCGTCTTTAACCTCTGTGCAGACCACTGGGGACCCATCCTCCCCCCTTGAATGACACTGGGTAACAGTGACAAAAATGATCTTCGAATGGACTTTCACTAAGCTAAAGCCCCCTCTGTCACCCAGACTGGGTCTAGAGGCTTGTCCTTGGACGAGGTCCTCCCTGACCCTCGGCCCCTCGGGTCGTAGTTCCCCGGAGCGAGCGTGAGGCCGGCATCCACAGGGTGTTCTGAGAACACCAGTCCACACGGTGCCTGGGAGGAGAAATGAAAACGAGGCTTCCAGTCAAGGAATTTGGGGAGCTCCTGGGAGAAAGGGAGTAAGGGGTTCCATTCGAAGTCTCCGGTGTTCTTTGAAGTTCTGCTACGGTCAGTGGGACCGGGCCACACTCGTGCGTGCTGGGCCCACACAGGCGGTATTCTTAGCGGTGTTCCCTAAACTCACACCCTCTGAGCAGCCTCTACGTCATCCGTGACGCGCTCGGTCAGGACCCCCTGATCGCTGAGCTCCAGGACGGGGAGGGGCTCTGCAGACCCTCCTCAGCCCACCCGCATTCGGGCGGGAAACCAAGGCCCAGGGCGGGAGGGATCCAGGTGACCCAGCGAGCTGTGGACAAGTACGCCCTGGAACTCCGAGGCGCTGGACACGGAGCCCCGAGCGACGACCTATTACACTGCTTTTAAACTTCCAGGCACGTACATCGCACACGGTCCTCACCCCCAAAGTAGCTGGAAAGTTCCCCGATGCCAGGAGCTAGGGCTGTGCACTCCCAGCCGCCCCCCCCCCCTCCCCGGGAAGTCGGCCCTCTGCCAGCAGAGGGTTTCTATGGACGTGTGATGATGACGACTTCCGAATTCGGATCAACTGTCCTGTCCCTCCGGGGAGGCACAGGATTCAAGCTGCCCTGACAGCGTCTCGTTCTTCCATTTGTGACCGTCCAGGGTCTCCTGGAACCTCAGCTGTGAATTTGACGTGCGCCACAAACACCGTGGCAAGTAACCTGACCCGCTCGAAGCCGTACCAGGTGTCCCTGCACTGCAGCTGGGCCGCTGGCCAGGAGGCCCCCGAGGACACGCAGTATGTCCTCTCCTACAGGTTGGTACCTGCTTTTACGTACGCAAGTGGCTCGCTCCCTCCCATGTGTTTTTGTTCTTGATTGATTTTAGAGAGAGAGAGGAAGTGAGAGGGAGAGAAAGATAGAAACATCGATGAGAGACAACATCGATTGGCTGCCTCCTGCCTCCTGGGCACGAGCCCCGACTGGGACTCGAACCGGCGACCTCTTGGTGCATGGTCGGCGCTCAACCACTGAGCCACACCGGCGGGCCGTCTCCTCCCTTCGCGAGCACTGAGGGGTGTTCCGATTTAGGTACGACACTCACACGGAAGAATGCCAGGAATACAGCCAGGACAGCCTGAGCAGGAACACCGCCTGCTGGTTCCCACGGACCTTCATCGACGGCAAAGGGCGGGACATGCTGGCGGTGCGCGTCAGTGGCCGGAGCCAGCGCGCGGCCATCCGGCCCCACGACCAGCTGTTCGCCCTTTACGCAATCGGTAAGCCGCCTCACGGAGCCTGCGAGGCACGGCCTGAGCTCCTAGGAGAAAGGGAGTAAGGGGTTCCATTCGAAGTCTCCGGTCACTCATTGGTGACCATTGCCCAGCCGGCCCCCTTTCCTGATGCCGAAAGCACAGGGCAGGCTTCTCAGCCTCAGCACAAGGGCGTTTGGGGCCGGGTAACTGTTGGGCGGCTGTGCTGTGCCCTAGGAGGTTCAGCAGCATCCCTGGCCTGCACCTACCGGATGCCAGGAGCACCCTCCCCACCAATGTGACAACGGAAGTGTCTCCAGACATTTCCAAAGGTCGCTTTAGGTGACAAAAGCCCCCCCAGTTGAAAGCTACTGCACCTGGGAAAGGGGACGAACCCCCTGCTAAAGGAAGTCACCTCATCTCAGCTGTGCCGGCTTTCCTGCTGCCAGCCCTGGGCCGGTCGGTGACACTGCCAAGCGGTTCTGGTCCCCATCCCCACAAGAGGGGCCCTCAGCCCTCCCAGGGCTAGGCCCTCTCTGCCCAAGCGGCCCAGTTTAGGTCCCTTCGCCATGCTGCTCTGGCCTCCTGGGAGGTTTCTGAGTTCAAACATGTCTCTCCCAGCCTGTGAGTCTCAGATAGAAACATCTCACTGAAGGTTTTGCTTGCCCGGGTCTCACACAGAAGGTACTCTCTTCATCCGAGATACTGCACTAGTGAAATCTATCAGGACCGTTCCACATAGCACGCAGTGCTTGACACTGGGGGTTTCTGTGGGGCGGGGCGGCAGTGGGGGCTGGCTGCCGGTCTGCCTGGCTTGGGGCCCGGCTTCTCCGAGGACCAGCTGAGTGTCCTCAGACAAGCTGCCATTCCCCTGTGCCGCAGTCGCTTCTGAAAAACGGGAGAAATGAATGCTTCCTACTGGTGTGAGGATTCAGTACGTTAATAATTATAAAGTGCCTCAAACAAGTGTCCGATAAATATGTAAAATACTGCTAACTAAAGGCCAGGCTGTGCTGTGACACGGCCGTAGCTACATGGAACGGAATGTGCCTTTGTTTAAGGAGTCACAGCACTTACTACCGAGCAGTGTGATTTTCCTCAATCGTATATTTCCTAGGGGACTCAAACTGTCGCTTTCAGGACAAGAGGTAAACCAAATGCTGAGCAACAATGAAATTAACGTGAAAATGGGCACAGCCCAATATACTGACCACAGGAATTCACTTGCTCATACCATTTTCATTTCACTGAGACCGGTTCCTCAGATTACTAAAGCAAATAAAGACTTTTTGGTTGAAGACTTTCTGGTGAGGGGTTGGGTCCCACACGTAGCGTGTCCCTATGACTCATTCATTGTGAGATCTTAGTCACATAACCTAAGACAAAAACAGTCACTTAGAAATAATTTCTACCCACATTGCATGGCCCTAGACAGTCAAGCGAGGTCTTGGGAAATAATTTCTTGTTGAAGTAAAGACAAATTTAGCCCGCCCTGGCCAGTTTGGCTCAGCGGTTAGAGTGTCGGCCTGCGGTCCAGAGAGACCTGGGTTCGGTTTCCGCTAAGGGCGTGTACCTTGGTTGCAGTTTGTCCCCAGCCCTGGTTGGGTCGTGCGGGTGGCAGCCACTCGATGTGTCCCTTTCACGTCGATGTTTCTCTCTTTCTCTCTCTCTCTCTCTCTCTCCTCCTCTCTCTCTCTCTCTCTTCCTTTCTCTCCCTCCCACTCTATCTGAACGGCAACAACAAAAAGACAAATTTAGCCCAATCCATTCTTTGGATGCCAGAGAAGACTAAAGCTTTCCACTCCATGCCCCAAACGAACCAAAACAAGACACACCAACGAAATGAAACAAAAGCTGTCACTGAGAGAGGGGAAGTGGCCATCCAGGGCCGCACACCTGCTGGGTGGAGGCAGGGCTCCGGGCGCTTGGGAGAAGTAAAAAGGGGTGGCGGGTGGTCCTGCAATGAGCGGAAGAGGGAAACGTTTCTACCATTCGATGGCGTTTGGACCAGGACTCCAGGTGGTCCCAGGAGGGGTCTCTCGTGGGACAGGGCAGGAGTCAGAGGCGGGCCACTGAGTCCTGCGGCTTGGAGAGCAGGTGGGACCATCAGCCCTGCTCACCTGCCTCTCCCCCTCCAACCTAGATCGAGTCAATCCCCCGGGGGACGTCACGGCGGAGATAGACGGGACCCACCTCTCCGTCCGCTGGGGGAAGCCGGTCTCCGCCTTCCCAGCGCACTGCTTTAAATACGAAGTGAAAATTCACGGCACGAGGAACGGTTACTGCCAGGTAATGCTTCAGACCGTCCCGGGGCTGGGTGACAGCCTTCTGTTGGAAACACTTCGCAAAGTGTCTTCTGGGACTTCTCTGGGCACAGCTGGGGACCACAAGGTCAAAGATAGCTACACCTGCCCAGGCTTTATGAGAATAGACCAAACCTTACAGCCCTTTTTTTCTTGAAAGGACACACTTTTAGTTGAAAATGCCACAAGGTGTTAGGTAAAAACTCATGGTGGTTTCTCAATAATTAAAACTGGAACGACCATACAAAGCAACAATTTGGGGTGTAGATCCCAAAGAACTGAAGGCAGGGTCTCAAAGGGACACGTGTACACCCCTGTTCACAGCAGCATCGGTCACAACAGCCGAGGGCAGGAAATCCTCAAGTGCCCAGGTGAAGGAATAAACAAAATATGGTCTATGCACAGATGCACTATTATTGCATCTTAGAAAGGGAATTGTAACGCCTGCTGCAGCATGGACGGTCCCGAGGACACCGTGCTGCGTGAACTATGCCGGCCACCGCACGGCCCATACTGCACAATCCCACTTGTGTGGGACCCCGGAGCAGCTAACTTCACAGGGGCAGGAAGTGGGTGGTGGTTTCCAGGGGCTGGGGGAGTTTTGAATGGGGAGAGTTTCAGTTTTGCAAGATGCACACCGTGCTGGAGATCGGTCGCACACCTACATCAGTGTTCTCAGCCCCTGCGGAACGGTGCACTTAAACATGGTCAAGAAGGTGCATTTCATGTGATGTGCATGTTACCACAACTTAAAGAAACTCATCAGCGTGAGTGGACGAGAAGTTCAAGGGGAAAGGAGCTGGGAAGAAAGCCAGTATTTCCTGGGTGCCAGCCATCTGCCAGGCTTTATTATATGAATTCACCCCGCCCTGTCATGTAATTATCACTCCCATTTGACAAGAAAGTGAGGCTGAGTGAGATTAAGGGACTTGCCCAAAGTCACTAAGCTGGAAGCATACAGGGGAGTCAGGATTCACACTCATGTCTTAGGAACAGCGGGCAAAGCAAACGCAATTCAATTCGATTTCATACTACAAATATTGACAAGGGGACTTCTCCTAGAATGATGCTAAGGCTTTGTTAAAAAAAAAAAGAAAGAAAGAAAACAATGGTTTATCTTCTTAAAACCACAGACACAGGCAATAGGATTTTCACGCAGTATAGAAATACGACCACATCTGCAGAATCAAAGGGTGATCTTGGTAGCAGCCTGGGAGCTGGCTGTGCACGGGGCGGGGTGCTGGGATGGGGGGTCTTGGCTAATGCCCGGCACCAGGCGACCGGAGCTAAAACAGGCGGGGCTCGTGGAGCGGGGGGAGGGAGAACCATTTCTAGGAGCACTGGGAGAGCTGGGGTCAGGGACACCTCTCTGTCCGGGGCCCCAGGGGTTAGCTGGATGGTGGTGGCACTGATCAGCAGGGGGGACGTAGGAGAAGGACTCGTTCATGAGAAAACTGCCTCATTTCAGCACTGGACAAAGTCAGCTTAACCTGCCTGCGTCAAGTGAGCACATATGATTAGACCGAACCATTCAAAATTGCTGTATTTTTGTTGTCTTTCAAAAACATGTTTTTATTGATTTTAGAGAAAGAGGAAGGGGGAGAGAGAGAGAGGGAGAGAGACATCGGTGTGAGAGAGAAACATCGACTGGCCGCCACCTGCAGTCCCTCTACTACACGCCCACAACCCGGGCACGTGCCCTGACCGGGGATCGAACCAGTGACCTTTTGGTGCACAGGACAAAGCTCAACCAACGGAGCCACACTGGCCAGGGCCAAAATTGCTGCTTTTGCCCATCAAACATGGGTTGAGTATTGGCCCTCTTCGTGTGATTCACTCTAATATCTTCTTAAACGTGGGCTGAACACAGGTCATTCCGTTTAACCCCATGACCCATGAGTTAGGTATTGTAATTCCTATGTTACAGAGGATGGCACTGAGGCTCAGGGAGGTCAGAGGGTTGTTGTGCAGGTGGTTGGAGGTCAGCTAGAATTCAACCTGCTCTTCCTCCTTCCCTGTGCACGCCCCCCCCTCCCACCACAGTCCTTGCTCAAGGCTCAGCAGACTGTCTTAGTAACAAGACCAGATGCTGCTGGCTTTGCAGGTGACACGGCGGCAGCCACTGTTACTCAGCTCCGCCTGTGGGACAAATGCAGCCAAGGGTGCGTGCCAGTGACACTTTACTGGGGGGGCCCTGAAATTCCAATTGCATGCAGTGGACTACTGTTCTTTTGGTCGCTTTCAATCATTTAAAGATACATAAAGCATCCTCAGTTGGCAGGCCCGACAGAGACAGGCAGCAGGCCAGCGGGGTCCCACGGAATTAAGTTTGCTGATGCAGAATAGGATGAAAACCAGTGACCCTGCTGAGACATTTGAGTGCAGAATAAGGACAAGGTGAGGGACCGTGCATTATGCCATCAGCCGCTCTGGTCTTTCGAGGTGGAAACATCATTTGGACCCAGAAGGGCCATCTCGACCTCACAATTGCCCGTTTCATTTATTCTGGTTACCAGAGGGCTTCCCCCTGAAGGGTGACTGCCAACCGTCCACCCTGAAGCAACCTGAAACCTGTGTCCTACGGACCTGAGTTGAGTCACGATCCTTACAGATGACCTCCCGTTCTGACCACTGGCTTTACTTACGTGCATTGCGTGTCTGGAGATTTACTGCACTGCCCCTGTTTTCCCACGCAGAGAGAAACGATGACGACCAATGAATACAACTCCACGGTCAGTGACGCGTCCAAGTACTGCATTGAGGTGAGAGCGGCCGTGAGCTCTGGGTGCAGGCAGGACGGGCCGTGGAGCGCGTGGAGTCGGCCGGTGTACGCGGGTGAGTGTTGCACGTTTTAGAGCAGCGGCCTTGGTCCTGGTTCAAGCAGGTCATCCTGGAAAGGGTGCACGTTCACGCGTGGCGTGGAAACACTGTCGTAGCTCCACTGTCGGTCACTGCCCTCCCGACCGGATGCGCTGACCCTGGTCAGCGCCAGCCTTGCCCGAACCCCAGACCGAAGTCTTTTCCAGACGATTCGATTCTACTTCGGTCCAAGTTGTCACCACTGAGTTTTTAATGTGGGGACGGCGGCAGACGCATGTGCGCCGTCAGGCCTGCCGCAGAGTCGGCAGGCGTAGCTCGTGCCCCGTTCAAGCCGCCGTGCAGGGCGCCGGCCCGGACACCGGCATCGACGCCGTCCGCTGAGCCTGTTCAGGGTTCATCGCCTTCCTGCGTGTCCCCAGGCCTGTGCGATGGCCTAATCAATTTGTTTTTCTTTCCCATTTTTATTAATTTATTTTTGTTGCAGATATTCTCCTTTTTCTCCGCTAGACACCCTCCTTCCCATCCCCCCGCTGCCCAGCTTTGCTGTTTATGTCCATGGGTTACGCATACGTACACATAAGTTCTTTGGTTCATCTCATCCATCCCCCCCAGTCCCCCGACTCTGAGGTCTGTCAGTCTGAACCCTACTCCTTTCTGTGTCTCTGGGTCTATTTCGTTCATCAGCCCACCTTGTTCATTCTGTTCCACAAATAAGTGAGATCATGTGGCATCTGTCTTTCTCTGATTGGCTTATTTTGCTTAGCATCATCACTTTAAACTTTTCAATTACAGTTGATACACAACATTATAGTAGTTTCAGGTGTGCGCCCCGGTGACTAGACTTTCCGTAACGTACTGCGCGAGCACCCTGACAGAGCCCGCCCCGTCCGACTCCGCACACAGTTAGCAGAACATTATCGACCGTATCCCTGTGCTGGCTCTGCCCCATGACTGCTCTGTGACCACAGAGCAAGACGTATTCAAAGTGACAGAAAGCAAGGGCCTGCACCAAGATACTCCACCCAGCAAAGCTGTCATTTAGAATCACAGGACAGAGAGAGCTTCCCAGACAAGAAAAAACTAAAGGGGTTCATCACCACCAAACCGGCATTACATGAAATGTTAAAGGGTCTTCTTGAAGAAGAAGAAGAAGAAGAAGAAGAAGAAGAAGAAAAGATACAAAAATACGAACGCTAAAATGGCAATCATTGGATCTAACATCAACAACTGAATCTACAAAACAAAATAAATGAACAAGTAGAACAAAAACACTCATCGAGACAGAACATCTTGAGGGTAGCCGGACGGGAGGGCGCTGGGGGATGGGTGGAAAAGGGGCCGTTCTGTGTGGATTTTATCGCACGAGTCGGTCCATGTGTCCCTCAGCACAGTCACGAAGCAGGGCAGTTCCATCACCCCGGGGTCCCTCCTGCGTCTGTCTCCCTCTCCTCCATTCTCGGCACCTGGCAATGACTAACGCCCTCTCCAGTTCTATCATTTCCCGAGCCCGACAGGGATGCAGACTTTCGCTTCTTTCCTTGAGGAACGTTCCGAAATCGAGCAGGCTTCAGAGCCCACAGAGCCCGGCTCCGCCCCCTCCATCTGCCTCTGTTCTTGCTTTCCACCGAGCTGAGCGGTTTCCTCGGCCTGATGACCGCTGTGTCCGCCGCCGCATCAGTGGGGGGCCAGGCAGTGCCCAGTGGCGGCTCTGGGGGTCGCGCCCTTCTCACGGAGCCGCGTGGTGGTCCTGTGACCTGGAGACATGGCCTTGCACCTTGTGGACAGGAAAGTCATACCTCGTGGTTGCCTTTACCTGGGCGTCTGGGGCACCCACGGGCACTTTGTGAGAGAAGGAGATGGAAAACAGCTGGTGTGCCCGGCGTGTGTGCCACAGCCAGGCAGCCTGGGTGCAGACAGCAGGCGCTGCTGGGCCCGCGAGGACTCGCGTGGCGGGAAGCACACCGGAGCCTCGCGCGGGAGCACGGGCGTGATGAGCCTGGGCGCGGGGGACTGTGCCCCCTGCGACACGGCGCTTCCCTGCCCCTGCCCCTACATGCTTACGACCTGGACGGGGAGGGAGAGACAGATGAGACATCAGAGATCTGTCCAGCGCCAGGACCTGAGTTAGAGACGGCAGAAGACGACACTGCACAACTCACATCGTATTCAGAGGTCACTCAGGGGCTCTGCGGAGAGGGCGTCCCAGGCTCCTGCAGGTCATCAGAAGGAGTCGTGACCTCCTGTCACCACTGCAGGGGACAGAGAGCGACCGCGTGCCAGGTGTGGCGGCCCATGACCTAGTCAGCCCTGCCTCACCTCTCTGGGTCTCAGTTTCCTCACCTGTAAAGGGGGAGGGCCCCCTGAGCTCCCCCGACGCTGCCCTTCTCGCGGCTTCTCTCCCCATCGGCCCGCCACACGGGTGCTGAGAGCCAGCTCGGGACCATCAGCAGAGTTTGTTTTAGCTGGTTTTCCATGTGTCTGTCACTCTCCGTGCCAGCACGCTCCCTCATGACTGTTTCCCAACTAACGCCTTCCTAGTGGGGAACTGGGCTCCTCATCGCCCCCCCCCAGGGTTCCTCGTGGGCATCGTCTGTGGCAGAGCCCGGTACACACGCTGCCACCCTTTCCATGAAGGTGAACTCATCCATGTCACGACCCACCTCGTGAACCCGTCGCTTCTGGAATGGACTCCCCTGCTCGGTGTAGGGTCATTGGTGACTTCGGTCAATGCACACTTTTCATCTCTGGCCAGATAACTAAGCAACACACTGGGAAGTTCGGGCCCCCTGGGACGCCTTATGGGTGCTGCCCTTACCCCTGGAGGGTGCAGCTGGGACCGTGGCTCGCAATCCGCCCATTCCCTGCAGACAACCTTCCTGCCCTGCCCCTTGTCTCGCACACAGAGTGCTGAGACCTTCCAGTTCATTCCAACACCAAACCCCTCTTTCCTAGATAGTATCAACTCCACCTTAGTAGTAGCAGGGATGTTAAATAACGCCATCGTTACCAAACAGCCAAGGAGTGGCTATTACGGGCTAACTTTCTCAGACAGGCGCCCTGTGAGTCTGTTAGCAGATTTCATTAACCCATCAGAGCCCACGGCTATTGAATAAGGAGTGAGACCCAGGGAGAGGAACTTTGATCGACGAGAAGCAGGGAGGAGCCGGCACTGGCGTCCCATGAGGCCCCCCGAGGTCAGGAGGCTGGGGGACAGCACTTGAGGACAGGCCTGAGCTCTTTGCCTGTCTGAAACTTCTACTGGTCGCAGCCTTCTGTGCTAGGATTTCCAGAGCCAGGAATACGTGTATTTTTTTAAAAATAGAATTAGCAGTTTCATTTTATCAGCGCCGGTGATCACCTACCCTTCCTCAGCCGCTCCTAGGTCTTATCTTAGTGGCCAACTTCCCACTTGTTGAGTCTTCCTCTTTTCTAGACTTGCTTAACTTCTGCATTTCTTCTGTTCCTGGCCAGCTTGTGCTCCTGACCTGTTTACTCCGTGTCCTGACCCCAGGAGCACCTTCCCTGCTGAGCCTCGCCTCTCCCCGCAGCGAACCCCCATCGCCTGCGCCAAGCCGGCGGCTGTGGGACAAAACTGCCCCGTTGGGGCGGGTCAGGGGCCGCGTAGGATTTGGGCTGGGCTGGAATACGTGTCCATGAACACGGAGGAACTGGGAACTCTGCCCTTTTTCCTCCAACTTGGCTTTCACGAGCTGTGACTGTGAGAAAACCCGGCACCCGAATCCGAAGCTGGGGGTGGTGCCACCTGTGATGCCTCTAACCTGTCTCCTTACTGTGCACCACGGGGTCCGGCCCCCATCCCGTAGCTCCAACCCCTGCCCCGAGTCCTGTGCCCGCTCGTCCTCTTTCTTCTTCACTCTTATTTCTTCTGTTCTACTTTACAGGATTCTTTTAAAATTCCCACCCAGCGGAGAAGCAGGAGAGCCAGGGAAGGGGCAGATGAAGGGATATTTGGGGAGAGCCCAAATCAGGTTTCCCGACATCCACCTTCTTCTGTTTCTCAACTTGTGAACGCATTTTGCAAATTCTGGAGCTTTTGTGGGGCGAGAGATGGGGGCCTCTGGACAGCAGTCACCCAAACTGGCTGGGAAATACAAAGTTGACCCCAAAGCAACCTGAAAACCCACTTGGGCCCCCTAGGACTCCCAGAACTACTTCTTCTCACCCGGACTCCTGTGGCTGCAAGGTGATTAGACCACGCCTGGCAGCCCCCATGGTCCCCAGCAGGGGGCAGGACAACGGCACCCTGGTGGCGGTGCCATTGGCCTGAAGAAGGTCTAGCGGGAAGCTTCCAGAGTCTTCCCCCAATGTCGGGAGCAGGGACTTCAGCTGTGCTGTGAGGCTTGGCCACCGCTTGTGGGGTTCACAGTGGCCTCTCCCGCGGGCCTCTGCCCCACGTTGGGTCCCGCAGAGGGATGACAGCTTAGAGGGAGGAGGGGCTGTGCCAAGGGGCCAGGCGCTGTGCTAGGCTCCGTCCCCTACGTTAACTGTGTCTCTGCACAAACACAGGAGTCCCCGGACCACACAGACTGTGGTTGATGAGAAGAGAGAGGCTGAGAGGGTTAAGGAACCACCAAGAGTGATGGAGCTGGACGGTGGTGGGCGTGGGCTGGGACCTCCCTGCCCCATGGCCCTCCCTGCCCCCCAGGGCCTGTTGGCTGTTTCCTGTCCCTCCAGGCACTTACTGCTGCTCCGGTCTGCAGGGCTCAGACAGCGCCTGGATTCTAGACGTGCTTTGCTGAGTGAGGGACAGCTCAGGACGCCTTGGTTCTGATACAATGTAGTTAATCTTCATCACGATCAGAATAGCTAATATGTACTGAGCACCACCTACGTATTGGCACCGGGCTGAGCACTTTCCATATACTGACTCGCCCTGTCCTTGCCTCACTGCACAAAGCAGGCCATGGACGCCGGATTCCTGGCTCAGGTCCCCTCAGTAGCCAGGGGCAGAGCCAGGCTCAGCCCCCCACGGCCTGGTTGCTCAGGGCTCAGTG